GCTGTCTGGAGTTGACTTAAATATTTATAGAGTGTGGTTTAGATGCTCATATAACTAAATTTGACAAAATAGATGATTACCATATTCATCTTGTCGAACTTACATTGCTTACAAGCATACGCCATTGTTCATAATATCCTAAAGTGAGTGGTGATGTGGTGAAATTTCTGTCATTTGTCTTGGCGCGCACTATGCTATGATTTGGAGACAAAAAGGAAATATTCATGTGTGGACTACATTATAATCTATATGCATCTGCTCTCTGATCTTCAAATTCATTCTGTTTAGCATTAACATTAGCCTTGGTCTTAATTACTTTTAGTTTTCGTGGTCCTATTTTCAAATGATTCAGGCATAATTGTGCATACTAGTGTTTAAGTTGTTGTATGATGCGAGTTGAATCTTAATTACAATGCATTATAATGTGAAGATCATATATTATGATTATAATAATGCCTTTTCTTTTCTTTGAAACAGGTTGGCGATGAAGAAGAAAAGCTCGCTGAAGGGATAAAACTTTATGCTATATCAGCTACTGCCACTTCTAAGCGGACAATTCTCTCTGACCTCGTAACTGTAAGTTATCTGTTAAAGTTTTCTACCTTACATTGATGTTCATATTCTCTTCAGTTTGCATTGTGAGAGTTTTGTTTAGTCATCATATTGAGTTATATAACTAGTTAACAGTTTAAGTAACAAACAGATATAATCTAATAAGATCAAATGTTTTGTTGAATATTTAATGCAATGCGTATTTAAACAGATAGTCTACCAAATTTTCTTAACTCTATAATCTACAAATTGATAATTTTCGTTATCTGTTTGTTTTGAAAATCATCAAATCCATTACTTCCTACCAAGTTATCTAATTTCTGGATTTTATGCACTCAAAACAAACTTATTAAATCAGTTAATTTTTCTATTTCTGATGGTTTACAATCTACTATTTCTCCAGGAATTTTTTGGGGGCAGGAGTCAATAATTTTTCTTACTGTTCCTTGTCTTTCAGGTTTATGCAAAGGGTGGGAAGACTATTGTATTTACACAGACAAAAAAAGATGCTGATGAAGTATCATTGGCATTAACAAATAGTATAACGTCTGAAGCACTGCATGGCGATATATCTCAGCATCAGAGAGAAAGAACATTGAATGGTTTTCGGCAAGGAAAATTCACAGTGCTTGTTGCTACTGATGTTGCAGCTCGTGGACTTGATATTCCAAATGTTGATTTGGTGAGTCCAAAGATTGCTTCCCAGTGTGCATTTTAACCATCTGATCTCCCTCATGGACTTATTATTTATTAGCTTAGAGTTAATGCTGACGAGTCTGTGGATTAATAAAGCAAATCACTTGAGTAATTTTATGCTGGCACTTAGGTTATTCAATAGCGGATTCGTGATCTAGTTATAATTTTTTTGGAATTTAGGGTTAAATAGTTTGGGATGTCTTAACCCTAGATTGGACTAGAAATTTATTGCCTATTCTGATGTGTGATTTGTCTAGTCTTATTGGGTGCTTGCCATGGTAAAATTAAGGTCTCCCATTTTGTTAAAATGATTACATTTGGCTTTTTCTTCAGTCTTTTCCACTGTTCACCGTCTCATCCGAATAAGGATTTAGAATTTTATATTTGATAAACTGTGGACATAAAATGTTTTTATTTTAATATTTTTGTTTAACTATTTCTTCACAATTGAATCTGTTCAGAGAAGTTTAAAATCTCTATTTGAATTGGAGGTTTCTATTTTAATGTCTTGGCTTGCTCTAAAACGTTATATCTTCTCAACGTATTGAAAAGCTTATTGGTGCTACCTGTTTCATTCAGATTATCCATTATGAGCTCCCCAATGATCCTGAGACTTTCGTACACCGCTCTGGTCGTACTGGTCGTGCTGGAAAACAAGGTACTGCCATTCTGTTGTACACCAGTAGCCAGAGGAGAACAGTTAGATCCCTTGAACGTGATGTAGGCTGCAAGTTTGAATTTGTTAGTCCGCCGGCTATGGAAGAGGTCTTGGGGTCATCTGCCGAACAGGTTGTTGCCACACTTGGTGGAGTTCATCCGGAATCTATTCAGTTTTTCACCCCAACTGCACAAAAACTGATCGAAGAACAAGGAACAACTGCCCTTGCAGCTGCCCTTGCACAACTTAGTGGATTTTCCCGACCTCCATCATCCCGGTCTCTTATCACCCACGAACAGGTGTTGTGAATCTTATATTTCCCTTGTTATCCAGTCTATCAAGTAACCACTTTCTAAATGTTGCCTTCATATTTAAGTAACGTATTACTTGCAATTGAACCAGGGTTTTTATTTTAACAATTGCTCGGAAAGACTATCCAAATGACAATAATACTAATCCATGATCCAAATCAGTGTATCTTTACCTTTAAAATATTTAAAAATAGTGTCTTCAGGGTCATTCCCTAGTTCATGGAGGTTACAAAGCATGGCCTGTGCCCTGTGGATATTTCATTTGCTTTATTACGTGTTCGATTATTATCTAAATAAGGACATACCACCTGGAACAAACACTATCGGATGCTTGATGTTTTATGTTGATTTTTAACTGCTTTTTCTTAAACTGTTTTGTATTTCAGGGATGGACTACGTTGCAACTAATTCGGGATTCGGAAAATAGTAGATATTTTTCTGCAAGATCAGTCACTGGGTTTCTTTCTGATGTTTTTTCATCAGCTGCTGATGAAGTTGGAAAAATCCATATAATTGCAGATGAAAGGGTTTGTATCCGAGTTATTTTCTCGTTTTTATTTTTTATACTTTCTACTTGGAACTTCAATCCTATTGGGAACGCAACCACAGTTCAAACGATTTGACATTGTGCCCACACAGGTTCAAGGAGCCGTTTTTGATCTTCCCGAGGAGATTGCTAAAGAGTTGCTTACTAAGGACATACCACCTGGAAACACCATTTCCAAGATCACCAAGGTATATTACAATATTTGAATTGTAATTCTTTGTTGTCTCTACTGTTCTCTTCTTCGTATACTGGCGCTAAAATTATTGTACAAATTATATAAACGCATTGCATCTTACTTTGTATTGGCAGCTACCTCCTTTGCAAGATGATGGGCCTCCAAGTGATTTCTATGGGAAGTTCGCTGACAGAGAACGAGGTAACCGAAGAGGATCTACTTCTAGGGGAGGTTTTACTTCTAGGGGAGGAAATTTTGCTTCTAGGGACCGGAGAGGTTTTAAGACCTCAAGGGGATGGGATGGGGAAGACTCTGATGATGACGACTTCAGTGATCGATCTAGTAGGAGAGGTGGTAGAAATTTTAAAACTGGTGGCAATAGCTGGTCTCGAGCAGGAGGTAAAAGCGGTGGGGATGATTGGCTAATTGGAGGTAGACGATCAAGCAGGCCTTCATCATCAGACAGGTTATAATAGGCATTCAATGATCAAATAGTTCTTTAAATTTTTTGTTTAGAATTTTCATCCTGTGCGAATTACAATACCCTCTCGTGTGATATTTATTTAGTCTCTGTGTCACTGATATGGCATGAATGTGCATTGCAGATTTGGAGGGGCCTGTTTCAATTGTGGGGAATCTGGGCATCGTGCATCAGATTGTCCAAAATCTTCAAACCGGCGAAGCTTTTTTTAAGTTCCCACATTTTTTTGGGGCGCCGCTTTGACCAAGATAGATATGAACTTCTGCCACTGTTATTGGCCTGATGGGTTCCGGAAAATCGAAGCATGCTTACCGAAAGAGTTACAGAACCAATATTAATTTGCATCTCACGTGTTGGCGTGATCTCCTTAGGGAACTCTTTTTTGTGTCTATGAAATGTAGTATTTGTTTGGGCTAAGAATAGTGCTTTATCTTCTTTTTGGGTTGGGTTTAAGGGATTAGTTGTATGGTCCTGTATTCTTCTCAACTTGTTATTTAATATCTTTTTGAACCTTCCGGGTTTAGGAACAGACTGGAAAAATGAATGAAAGATGAAATCCTACAGGTTTATGCATCTTTTATTATCATAAGGTAAAATTTGAATTAATCATCTTTTATTATCATAAGATAAAAGTGAACATACATGAGTATGTTTTCATTAATATGAATTAAAATGCCATTATAAATAGTTACAGCTCTTAGTAGTTAGTATTTTTTTCTCATAAATAAAAGACATGTTCTAATCAAACAACAAACTGTTTATTAAGTAATGTTAGTTGCTTTTTTACTAAATAATGTTTTGGAAAAAAAAATTTAAAAACAAAGACACACACACACAAATTTAATTAAGATGCATTTATATTGTAAGTTTTTTCTTACTAATTATCGGATAATAATTTCTTCAAAATTATGTGACCTTTATATTAATTGATAGTATAAAAATCTTATACTAAGAATAAATAAAAAAATTTGTTTTGTTTACAATACACATATTTGAATTAACATAAACATAAAATAACTCTCATGTGATTTTAAAACCATTTGAATATGTATTATATGCTCACAATTTTATAAAAAGAAAACTGACTATAAAGGTTTCTTAAAAAATATTATAACATAAAAAAATATACATATTTTTTTTAAGGATAAAATCACAGTATTCCAATTAATAAGCATTAAAAAACAAAGATATAATTTTCACAATAAGTACTTAACATATAAAAAGAATAACGGTATGTGTATATTGTGTATAGAAATGTGTTCTGTCTTGCTTGCTAGAATAATTATGTTAAACAGTTATATCCCTTTTTAGTAGGTTATAAGTGTTATATCTCATTTAGTTTTCTACAATTTTAAACTTTGTTCCTTTTGTGTAAAGAAAGAGTTGGAACATCTCAAATATTTTTTTATTTTATATATATTTTTATTGCTGATAAATAAAACAGTTTGAAAATATTCACTATAATCAATTCGCTAAAGCCGTATAAATGTATTTAATAATAATTTGAAGCGGGACAGGGACAGCACGACCTCTGATTGATCAACTCAGTATCAGATCGGTACCTTTTGCTCCTTTTCTCCATTTACATCATCTTTTTCCGAGTCTTCAATTTCATTTTCTTCTTACCATCTTCTTCGATTTCTTTATTACTTGAGATTGTTCTTGCATCTTAGCTGTGGGAAACTAAAATTTAGGTTTTGCATACGAAAACATCCACCCTTTTTGTTTGCATTAATCAATTTATTTAGTTTTATACAATGACAATTCACATTGAACAGGAAAGCGACCAGCCTTGGTGAAAATCAAAAAAAGAAAATGGCAGAACTGAGTTTGGGAATTCTAATTGACATTGTTGATGAAGAATGGATGAGAGACACTCTCCCTGATGATGGTATGTAGCTTTTATTTTCCTTCCCTCCCTCTGGCAAGGATCTTTTTGTTCATCTTAATATCCACTTGGGTATGTGATGGGCCCATACCTTTCTTGCTGTTATTACAGATCTTCCACTGCCCCCAACACTGGTTGTAAGGACAGATGATACTGAGGACTCAAGTATGTCTCTTCGTTGACAACTTCAGTAATATTTTGTGGACTATCAATTTCTTCAGTTTGGTTCGGAAAAACAGTTTTGATTGATGTTGCATTATCTAAAACTACGTTGATATACTGGTCTTCGTGAATTCAGACAAATGTTCATATGTTGGAGTTGGAGTTGGATTCGCAATGAATTGATTTTGAATTAAAAATCGACCCAGTCACACACTGAGTAGGTTTTTTTTTTTTTTTTTAAAGATACCCTCGTTTGTTCATTAAAATTTAATTAGTAACCTCAGAAGATACCAAATTATATCAAACTGGTGTGCTGAAAAGATTTTCTTTTTGAAGAAAATCACACATTTGTGCATTGACATGTAACAGCATCCTTAGAAGAAGATACAAAAATATGAAATTGGTTTGCGAAATATATTATCGTTAATGGGTTTGTTAAGAATTCATTGTTGGCAAGATGACTCTCTATTGAAGGGTTGTATCTAATTTTCTTGACTATTATAACAGTGTACTTTGCTATGTGTCACAGATCAGGAGACTCAACAAGTTAACGTGGATGCTTGGCACGATCTTGCCTTGGGTCAAGAATAGAAGTTTCATTTACTTTTATGTTATGCTTTGTAGTTAGTGAGTACAGATGATGCTTCCTGTTTAATGAATTCAAAGTTTATAAACATGTTAAGGTAAGGAATTGTTAAAAGTTTATAAACCTGATATGGTATTACTGAATTGTGTCATTGCTGAATACTATTTGTTTTACTGTCATGAAAGCACTCTTGGATTTTTGCTGGTTTAAGCAACTTTAGGGCATCCCCGAGCCTAAGGGTTATTGGTACGCTCAGAAGTCTATTAAATTAGTAAATGATTTATAATAGAAATATAAAGTTTTTTAAGATATGGTGGCGGACGTTGCGTCATTGGTTTGGTTTAGTGTTACGAAGTTGGAGTGGTGTGAAAGAGATTATAGATGCTAAACTCAGTGAAATCATCATGCAAAAAAAAATATATAATGGTGGTGGTAGTGTTTGTTTGTAATTACTTTCTGATAAATAAATAATCGCTTATTTTAAAACAATTTTTTAAGAAATGACAAATATAAGTCGTCACAAGTTGGTCTTGGTGGTTATAGTAACTCTATTCACGATTTGCTTGCTCATGTGAGGATGCCAAAGGTGAAATTTATTCAATAAAAGAAAAATATTATATTTGTAAGCAATTATGTGTAATTTTATTCAGATCATCACTTTTGTAGTTCAATCTTTCATTATTATCTTACCAAACTTTGGTTTCTTATAGATATCAGATTTGACGGATGTATTAGAGCTCAAAACCGGCTCTAAATAGATGCTAGTGTGCTAACTTGTCTTAACTTTAATTTAAAAATATGTATTGAATAACTTTAGAAGATCGTATTAAGTTTCATGCAATAAAATAGTAGGAAGCAACCGTTGAGGTTAAGATTCTAGAAAGACCAGCTCTTCCGCAATGGAGGGTCAACCAAGATATCATATTGATTCATAAATAAAAAATCGTCTCTCAGATACCCAGTCAGAAATTACCACATTAAAGGGGAAAAGTCAGAACAAATGACAGGTGGGTAAAAAAATATAAATAAATGCATATAGAATGCAGGGGATGGGTACAGTTGTATATAAAATCTATGAACTGTTACTACCCATTGAACCAGAGAGGTTAACATTCAACTTGTAAATTATAAAACAGCAAAATTAAAATTCAGTCAACAAAAACGAAAAGAAAACTCACATGTCCCAATCACAGCAATATGAGACAACATCGCAGCTCGTTACCATTTTCTACAAAAATTGAGGTAAAAGGGAAACGCAGCTGCTCGGTACAATTTACCTTTGGAATTTAGGCTTGTTACAAACTAATATACTAGATTTCCTTCATCTGTAAACGATTTCTTTACAAAACATGAATTATAAATGAATTTTCCAAGCGGTGGTATACCGATCATATAAAGGGATGATTTGCCGGAACTGTAGTTGTTGTAGGAACTGCAGCTATACTTGGAGTAGAAGTCTCCGAAACCTCTGCTGCTACTGGAGGTGGGAGAACCTCTGGGACTGCTGGATTTCCGGTAGACGTTTCTGCTTGACCAGTTTCACCATTAACATTCGGACCTCCGTCACTAGCTGGTCCAGTGGTAGGAACCCCATCAGCTACGGTCGTTTCACCTGATTCTGGTTGAGGTGGAGCAGCTACATGAGCTGGCGTGGACTCTGAGGTAGACTCTGACGGAGGTGGCTCACTAACTGATGCTGGTGTGGATTCAGGCTGCTGAGTAGCACTCTCTGGTGCAGCTGTGGTTGTAGGAGGTGCTTCCAGTGCCAATAGCTTGTCTGGGGGTTGTTGGGAGTTCTGCGCAGAAGAAGCTGGTTTTTTCTGGATGGAAATAGAAGCATTAAGAGACATCATCCCCGGAGGCAGGATTTCAATAGGTGCTTTCTTCCCAGCATCTGCCAAACTTGTGAGCTTAGGCTCCTCAAGAGAAGCTAAAAACGCAGCTGCAGCATCTGTCTTCTGAGATGGGGTAGGTTCAATCTCTCTCTGTAATGCTTGGTTCCAAGCCTGCACTAAGTTCTTCAAAGTTGGCCGTCCATGTGCCTGAAAATACCAAGGTCAGACTATAGTACTAAATTGAGGGATCAGGTGATGTAAGTAATAAATCATACATGAGCATGAAGCACAGCCTCTGCCAGCATTCCTGTATCTTGCCATGCTTTCTCCATCAGAGCATTGTCACCCAAAACAGCAGCAGCAAATGCTGCTTCCCTTCCCAAGCCAAGCGTAACTAAATTGTTAACCAAACCCTGCAGTGCAAGAACATATTCATAAGTTTATGAATAAAACAACATTAAGACTAAAAAACCGAAGCAGACAAGTTATTCCAAAGAAAGAGGAATGTATGCCATCTCAAATAGTCATTTTAGCATAGATAGAAGATGTTAAGTTCAAAAAAAGAAAGGGAAATTTTGAACACCAATGGAACAAATGCTAGTCCTTTTGTTTTTCATCAAACAATGAGCTGACTAGAAACCAAAAGTAGTTGAGAAGGTCATGGCCAGAAAGTAGAGAACAATGAGTAGTAGCTAAATTGACATGCACTCCTAACAAATTCCATTTTGTGTATGAATCATATTTTGATTTTGGTGAATCACTGATCTTATTATCTATTCGCTACAAGAAACAAACACAGCAAAAATAATCTTTTTTGGTAAGAACCAATATAAATATTTCAATGTCTAACCTGTACAAAAAATAATCGCAGTCCAACTTTAATGTATTTGAACACTAAATATACCCAAAACGGTGGTAAAAATGGATAGTAAACTATATGTATTTTGAGGGGCAGATCTTATAAATCAGATAGCCAAAGCAATATGTAAAAAACCACTTTTCCTTTCACATATTTTTTACATCCTAACCCCCACCCCCCATTCGCTGATTTCATGATATATTCCATCATTGTTTGTTTTTTTTTATAAAATCCAGTTCTCATTCAATTTCTTTAAGTAATCATAAACTTCTCTATCTCTCTCGCACAAACACATGTTAACATGCACACACTTCTATAAGAATAAATAATTAACTGACTGACCATATTTGGCACAAAAGAATACAAGACCGTGCTACGAATGCCTTGTCATATTCAAATCACGTCTAACTATCAGTAGTATGTATGTAGAAGAACAGGCATACACATTATCACTACAACATCTAACAGTTATCTTAAAAAATCATTGAGGAACATAGCTAGGCACAAACACAAAATTAATCCAGCCACATTTAATTATAAAAGTAAGCACCCAATCAATGTAATGCAATTTACTTCCAGAAAGAGAGTGCATTATTAAGAAAGACTGCCTACACTTAGACGAGTCAACTCTCCATGATTTGCAAGACGTAATGCTAACCCTCTCAACTCATGACCTTCTAAAGCACCTTTCACCGAACCTGCTGCAGCTAACCTCTTAAGAGCCTCACGTGCAATATCACTCTGTGCAGTAGCGTCTGCGGCATCAATAAGATCCAAGAACTCTTTTGCAAATTTCACAATACCCTGAACACCTTCAACCATATCTTTTTTTTTATCTGATATTTTCTCTTGTTTTTTATCTGATAAATTAAGAATGTCATTCAAACCAAGACCAGGAGTATCATCTTGTCCTATATCCCGGCTGTTACTCATGGTAAGAAGACAATGAAGAGCTCTTTTCAAATCATTGCTCTTCATCGCCAAATCAAACTCCAACCTGCAGAACATAAATATCAATATGTTTCTGGTCGAACCATACCTTGCCATAAGGAGTACACAAAAATCAATAAAATTAAAACTGCAGCCTCTTGTCTCTAAGCATATAGCTATACCTCTTTGATATTCCAGGCAAATGAAGTGCTTCAGTAGCATAGCCCATTCCTAGCATAAATTGGGCTAAATCATCGTGGTGTTCTCTTCCAAGTCTACTTGCCCTGTTTCAAAAAGTATAATGAGATATACAGATATATCTGAATTATTAATAAGCAATGATAATGGAGAAAGAGGGACATAAAGAAATCAAAATACCATTTTACTGCACTAACAGCATCTCCATAAGCTGCAAGGCATCGGCAGCGAATTCCAGGATGACTCAAGGATAAGGCATGAGCACACATGTACCTACCACAACCCAGAAATCAATAACATCCTTCTTGAAATCAGTATCCGATACAAAGGAATAACCTTAAATTAGACATCTATAAGACATGCACGTGTTAACTAGGTCACTTAAAAACTAACCAGAGGCCAGAGCCAAGACAAAAAAAAACGTCAACTTTATTGGAATCAGTTGGCTGCTCTAAATAGAAAGGCATAGTATTCCACTAAACACATTTAATAAGTGCATAAATACATGTCTTTAATAATACAACTCCAACTTTCTCCTTAATACATTTTATTCCTGATCACATCATTTCTTGTGTGGCTTCTCATTCACCATGGCATTCTCTAACAAGTACATAACATTATAACTAGGTGTTGACTTCTCAAGGTGATTAAACAACATTAAAACCGTCCTGAGTTTTGGACATTTATTTTTCGGTGTATTTTCATCTAATTGGAAAGGGCATAAGTATACAAATGGCTTGTAACTAGTGGAAATTTAAAAGGGTGGATTTCATAGGAATTCAGTGTAATTTTGTTACACTTTGAGGAAGATAGATAGGCATACTTTATCCTAATGTGAAAGCCACTGCATTAAAGTGATTAATGCATTAAAGGGAAAAGCATAACTGAAAACTCCACAAAAAACAGATCACACTAACTGCACATATGTACAACACGTTTGCACAAATTAAATGTTACAAAGGTCTCACGTCGATTATGGAGGGGCAGAGGTTTTGGTGCTGATTGTAAGTAAACAGTTATAACACTCAGGGTTGTATTAAAATCATTGAAATCATTAAAATAGTAACTATTAAACTATAATAAAGAGAGAGACATTGAGCTGAAATCGTGTTTTTAAGACAACTCAAATGCTTTCATTTATATTGAGAAAATAGAAACAATACAATAGAGGGTGTTCGATATTCTCTAATAATAAAGATATGATGCCAGAATAAATAGAAATGTTCCTAATTATACATATATAATCTAGATAATCTTAATTGCATGAGGATCTGCTCTTTATTTCTATAGTTATTATAGCAACTAGTGGACAAAATAAACTGCAGAGCTAATGAAAGATTAGAAATTTAGGATAAAAGAAAATAGTTTAATTTCTGAGGGAACTTGTGTTTTTCTTATGCATATAAATACAGCCCGTTGAGTGCAAA